GCCCAAACCTCATAGGGTTCCCGGATGCCCAGGAACCCGGAACCCTATGTGGGTTCCAGTTCCCAGGAACTCGGAAATCCATACCAACTTTCTGCAAAAAGGCTATGTGAATATTCCTTTGTGTTTAGAAATGCATAAAAATGGATCATGAAGTGGGTTCCGGGCTCCCGGAAACGGAACCCTAGGGAACGGGGAACCCTGACACTCCTGGTGCGAGCGTGACAATAAATCCAGTAATCAATTTTGGCTAATAGTTTTTTATATAGAAACATCTTTAAAGTTGAATAACTAATGGCTTTTATTACAATAAGATATAACTGCTAGTATCTTTTGTGTTTGTGTATGTGTCTGTCATTTTTGTTTCATGTTCACTTTATATTAACTAAGATCACCAATAAATAAATAAACAAAAATAAGAGATCTAAAATATTGAACTGACCAGTACAACTTACACGAATAAAACATCATATTAAATATGAATTTGTTTCGAAAATTTTTGATTCAATACGGTGAATGACCTTAGCTTATGTGTTCTCATTGTGTAAGAGGACATGATTATCATTTTCGTGAAATTCAATCTATTAAGATTCCCTATCGTCTTTTTTTTATCGTCCATGCTTCACATTACAGTTGATTTTAGTTTTGCCACATGATTATGATTCAATAAAATTTATTTCATCATCATGCATGGTTGAAAAAGCAACCAAGCTCAACAAGTTTGATTTTGAAAATACAAATCCGATATGATCAAATCTTCACTTTGATAGGACTCAATCATCGAATTGTGATTATGCCGAATACAATGGATTGAATTTTATTCAATATTTACACGAATATGGAAAAGTTTAGCTATATTAATTTACACAACATTCGCATACAATATATAATTCTGTAGAAAAACCATCAAATGAAATTAAGATTAATTTTGTGTTGTGAAAACTTATTATCTAGTGTAGAACAGAAGTAAACTTAATTAATCCGTCAAAACCTTGCAGATTTAACGTTTGTATGTTTTCAGTTCATTTGACAATAAGATGGAAAACAAGTTTGAACACATAAGTATCAGACTTGATAGTTTGTACAAATTACATTTTACAAAATGTAATGTTAAAGTAATCGATAGCTTTTATTCAAGTGAAGATGAAAGTTTAGCGTCAGAAGCTGTTCTCTGAGAAATACCAGTATCATCGGATAGCGAAATATCTGAATTTACTTTTCTTTGTAATAGATTAATATTTTTTCATATAAAATATGATTTAACAAAACTTTGTTTTCAAGTTTCATGTTTAAGGCATGTATATGTGTATGTCATATGCTATTAAAGCCAATTCATTTTGGGAACAATAGCTTTTTCTTGATAGAGTATAGCTAATGAATTTTGAATGCCTTTGACATTTTCCATAATTTGACTCAAAGAAAAGAAAACATTGCCAAGTGCTAAACGATTACGCATTGATCGAGTTATATCTATTTGACGAATAATTTCATTCAATGACCAATCAGAAACACTAGGTAATGTCCGATAAAGTGCATTACCCGGATAAACATGACGATCTTTGACTGATTGTTCTACCCACCAATTGAGCAAAACAGGATAAGATTGTGCTGGTGGATCGATTTGCCAATAAAGTTGCGGTGTCATATAATCAACTAAACCTTGTTCTAACCACATTCGACTATCACAAAATAAACTATCATACGAAGATAGACCAGCTATGCCAGTTGGTACACCACTTTTCCATATTCCAAATGGTGAAACACCAAATTTAACTTTTGGTCGAATAGCATGTATTTGTGTATATATTGATTGAATCAAACTATTGACATTTGAACGACGCCAATCACTTTTATTTAGGTGACCACCATGTTCTTGATAGTCAGCATAGGTAGCAGCATCAGGAAATTCAGTACCATCACTATATGGATAGAAATAATCATCCATATGAATACCATCAACAGCATAACGACTAGCAATATCTGCAGTTACATTTACAATAAATTCTTGAACTTCAACTGCACCAGGATCCATCCATATGTTCTTTGCATATGTATAAGCATATTGTGGAAATCTTTTAGCCATATTAGTAGGTGTTAATTCATAGGTTGCACCAGTTATGCGAGCACGATATGGATTGAGCCATGCATGTACTTCAATATTTCGTTTATGTGCTTCATTGATGATGAATTCTAATGGATCCCAAAGTGGTGATGGTGCAACACCTTGAGTACCAGTTAAATAGAAACTCCATGGTTCTAATGAGGATGAATAAAAAGCATCACCAGCAGGACGAACCTATTTTTACCAAGAAAACTTTTAGTCATTAAAAAAAAAGAATCTGTTTTGTTTTTCATTGTTACTTGGAAAATGACAACATTCATATTTAGAAGTTGAATAGTATTGAGAATATGAATCAACTCTGTTTGTTGCCTAGCAGATGAAGCTGTTTTAGATGATGGCCAATCAATATTATCGACTGTAGCTATCCAAACAGCACGAAATTCTTCGTTAGTTGTGTTCTTTAGTGAAAAACAACATTTGATATCGGATGGATGTGATTCACATAAGTCTGACATATACAATGAATTTGGACACTGATTCTGATCAATACATTGGCCCGTACCAAGTCGTGGATGATAATAAGTATCACATGTATCCGTTTTAACTTGGGAAGATAAGAAACTCAATGAAAAACAAAAGACAATCGTTATCAAAGTCAAAATCATTTTTTTTGCTAAAACAAGAATACCATGAGAGCACGTATACTTTTATATATCAAAAGATAACATCTGTTTATGTTCTCAAAAACATTTTATAGTTAACAATTACTGCTTTCCAGAGTCACATCTATTACCAACAATAAACATAGACTTATTCACTATCCAGTCAAATGTGAAAACTCAAAAAAACGCGTTTAACTGCTATAAGATTACCGATATAGAAGAGTGATCTATACTGGACGAAAAATAAATAAATCCACATCGAAGAAAACAGGTAACTCATGCATGATCTAGAATTTTTTGCCTAAAACGTAAAAGATTAGTAATTGTACACATGAGACTGTCGAATGCACATCTATGCATGTTCTACTGTTTTCGATCTATACCCAACAATTGCTACTATTTCAAATAACTTGTATATTCGTGAGTGAAACGCACCGGCTGTAAATACACGCGTTTTATAAAGTTATGTAGTTGACTGGATATTAGTTAGATGGCATGAATAACAAATACATCATCATGAAAGATATCTTGGCAGAGACTAGTGTATGAAAAAAATATCAATCCATCTACTAATGTTGATCCATTTGAAAATGAAAGCAAAAACTTATAAAGCAAATGCCCTCGTATCTTTAGCTTTTTTTTTTCGTTAAATATTGATGAATACATGCAAAAAAAACGAAAGAATTCTATATTTGTCTTGTAAACTTTCATCATTAACATACACGTCAAGGAACAACAATTGTGCAAAGAAATAAAATAAAACGACCGACTAAACGGATAGGATGAAAGAATAATAATAATAGTAATGAATTATAATAAATAACAAACACACAATTGTTCATTTAACAATCTGTTCGCGAATATAACGTAAAAATTCCACATAAGACATTGTTGATTCAGATTTATCATCAACTAAATGACGAGTAAATAAATGTCGATTAGATGAATCTTCTCTATAAACAAAAAAAAACAAGAAAATATATATAGATATAAAAATATATTTACTAATAAAAATAAATATACCTCATAATATGTAATGCAATACCATGTGGTCGACTTTGAATAAGATAAGAAAGAAAATTATGTATTTTCATTGATAATGGATTTTCTAATTCAGGTAATGAATACTAAAAAATATTAAAACATAAACATAAAATAAAATTTACTCTTGTTTTTTTTTTCATATTTACTGAATCCAATGGTAAGGCAGAAAATGTTCCAAGATTAAAAACATTTTGAACAAAATGATCACTTATAGCTTTACCAATATAAACATATATATATTCACTTGTATCAAGTATATAAGCACCATGAGAGTCAATATTTTGATATGATAAATGAACACGTTGAGGAATATGTAATTCATCTTCTCCATCTTGAATAATTTGACTCTGAAAAATAGTAAAAAAAAATAATTCAATATAATAGAAAAGCAAATAATTATCAATTAAATGTATTAGAAAATCTAAATACTTGTCAATAATTTTCAATTGAAGTCAAATTTTTTATTAGAATTTGAGTTGAACTGATTGTGAAATTTGATAGAAAAAGACAACGAAGAAGATGTCAATTTAAAAGCAGTCATAAAAAGAAAACTCTTCGAGCTTAGTGAGTCTTACACAGATAGATACTCTCGATATCATTCGATTTGTTTCATTTCCAATGCTAATAAATGACATGAAAACATTTCGATATACTATTTGAAAATAAATATGAATACAAACTATATATAAATGATTTCTTCAATGTATTTTTGTTTAACCGTCTCAGGACGGGATTATTCGTTGAAGAAAAAAACTAGAAAAACAAAGTTTCAGCGATCAACTGATTCTATTTTTCATTCACGTTTATTATTATGATTTTCCATGGTAATCTAAGCATTTGTATCTGGTACGAGATTGTTTATTTTCTTAGATCCCGTTAACTATTATATTTATCAAAGATGTGTCGAATCACTTGCAGACGAAAATCAATCAACTCAAAAATGGGACATAATCAAACAAACAATATTCGATGCATATCATAATAATTTCCGATCGTCAGTGCATAATATATTTCACTATTCTACATATATGTATCGTCTATTCTGAAAGGATTAATAAACCTTTTTTTGAATAAATATATATATATTACCTTATCTTCAATTGTGTGTATTGGATAAAGATCCGGATACAATATTTGCATTAAATACTGCGTAGGTAATGTTTTACACAAATCTAAATAATATGCTCTATCATCAAGTCTTGGTGCACCGCCAGCTCGAAATGCCGTCTAAGTATACAAACAATAAATATTCAATAAAAATTCTTTGTTTTATTTAATCTTACCGATTTAATCATACTTAACATATATAATGGTATAAGACGTAAAGAATACGGTACTATCAGGGAAAATGCTCGATTAGATAAATTATTTGATAAACATGCTTTAAGAATATCACATGCAACATTAGCCATTGCATCACGTGCTTCTTGTATTGATGACGTCATTGATCGATCAGCAGCTAAAACAAAAACAATATTTTTATTTTTCTCAATGTAGCAACAAAAATATATTTTTACCCATTTTAGCAATTAATGAAACAATAGCTTCTTGATCAGCACTTGAACATATTTCAGTTAAATTTGAACTAACCGGTAATGAAAGTGTATGTACTCGAATACGTCTTTCACCTAATTACAATAAAAGAAGAAAATTTTATTAATATTATTCATTTGTCTAATTTTACTTTTGCTTGATGTATATAAAAGTGCTGCTTGAAATGTAACTGATGTATGATTAGCTAAAGAATCTTCAATCGCTACTTGCATGCCAAATGCAGCATCTGGATTTATATTTGGTAAAACAAGTAAATCAACTGAACGAACAAAACCATTTCCATGAAATGTATGAATTGCCATTGCTATAATAGAAATAAATAGAATTGCTTTAATTTCAAACAAATAGTAATTGTTAGACACTTGAATCATATGAAGAATGAATAGAAGTTTCGATTGAAGGAATAAACCGTGAGACCAAAAGCTTTTCTCGAACAAGAATATCGAACTAAATTATCACTTTCGTGAAATAATTTTTGCGCATGATTTCATGACTCAACTCGAACTCCTACTTATTCTTTCAATATTTGTTGTACGATTCATATGCTTACAACGTTTGATTCATTAGCACTAAGAAAATATATCGATTGTATCATACAGTCATTAAATAATTGAATCTGGTGTAGCTCTTTGTTTTTATTTCAGACCCAATTTGTCATGTGATTTTCATACGATTCCTTTTTTTTATTCATTTATCTGGATAGTCTTTGTCATTCAATTTTACTATTTCTATGTCACGAAAAAAAAGACAAATGTTATTCACCTGGTGGTGATCGTAAACGCATGACAGCTTCAAAACCAATTTTTCTTTGTAAATATCGTCTTAAATCATTTTCAAAACGTTCAACTTCATGTGGTTTTTGAACTGAATGAAAACCTGAATAATATTTTACTTCACCACCTGAATATTTTGCGATACAACCTAAAGAGGCAACAAAAAATACTCTTCTTATAAGACAATTCAATTCTCTAAAAACATACTCAATGTTGCTAAATCAATATGATGACTATTTAAAAGAAATAGATCACAAGCTACTTGTGCTGATGCATAATCAAGTGAAAGTTTTTTATAAAAATCTGATGTTGGTCCAACAGTAGTTGGTTCTTTTGTTGCTTGTCCTCCAGTACCGACGAATTCATGTAAAGCTCCAGGATTTATATTTGGTATTCTTGTTTGAATAACTGTTATACGACCACCAGTTTGATCAAGTAATTTTCCTGCTATTTGTAAAGCTGAACCTAATGCTGAATCCGTTTCATTATTATCTTGATAAATTTTAGGTAATTCATTAAGAAATGCTTCAACTGTTGAACGACATTCACATAATGTAACCATTAAACCATCAGGCATAGGAAGAAAATCTTCTGGTTTATTATCAAGATCTGGCGCAATCATTATTCGAAATGTACCATTATGTCGATCTGATAAATCATAATAATGTATTCGACTATCATATGTTAGAAAACCAATTTGTGTACGAGCATCACCTGGTAAACCATTTAAATTTTCTAATAATATGTCACAAAATGATTGAAGATAACCTAAAAATAAATATAATAATAATTATTAATTAATCTATTTAAAATGATTTCTTTTTTACCTGTTTGTATAGCATTATGTGATACATCAAGTAAAAATAAATACATAGCTGGTTGAGGTGGTCTTGCCATATAATCAGCTGTTGCTGTATATTCAACAGTACCAAAACGAACTTCGGGTCGTCGACTTGGATCACCATAAGTTTTTGTTATTGGATCAAAGAGAAATTCTTGTGGTACTAAGAAAGAAAAAAACGATTAAGCTTACTCTTAAAAATCGAACTTAGATCGAGTGTATTCAAAATCATATGAAAAAAATAAGGAAAATGGACTCTTTCAAACAAAGAAAAGTATTCATATCAAGTTTCGATTTTTCTGACGAAAATTGACTTGTTCTTAAGGAAAGAATTAATGAAAATAACTTACAATCATTAACACGAAAACAAATACTACAACGCCATCGTGTATTATCAAGAAATGTAATAAATGGATTAATATAACTTTTACATGAATCACATCGAACAATTTTTGTACCTTGAATGACACTTAAACTCTATAAAAAAGAAAAAGAATAAATGAAAATAAAATTTACATGTTTTGTTTTTTGCTCTTCATAGAAGAAATAAATTTACTTCAAGATCTTTAAATGGATGAATGAGAATACCAAGAGGAAGACGACTTTTATTAAGTAAATCTTTTGTTTGTGGAATAACATTTAAACTACATCGCATAACTCTAAAAAGAAAACGATTTTTAATGAGATACAAATATGATAATAATAACATACTCTGGACTACAATTCATTTGTTGGTTTTCTTCACTAAGTAACGGTGAAACTGGTGGTTCTTCAGCATATGAATTAACCACAGTTTTTTCTTTGAGTAAATCGACCATATCCGTATTCTTTAATTAAAAAAAAAAGAAATTTTATTTAGCAGAGCACACAAAAATTCGCATGACTTTTATGTAACAATAAACAAGCTTAATGGAAACATTTTGAAGGCTTAGACTTTTTTCAGAAAAGTATATTTTAGAGATTTTAATAGTATTGTATACTTTTACTTACAGTAAGAGGACCATTGAGATTATTATTATGTTGATTGGTTGCACCAGTTGTGCTTCCACCCATTCCATAAGGCATTGATGGTGAAGAAAGTTGTGGTGGTTGTCCTGGATGTCCAGCACCAGCTGAATTTAAATTATAATTATATTGCGGATAGGGATAAGTAGATGATGATATTGGAGGAGGAGGAGGATAAGGTGGAAAAGATGATTGAGCAGTTTGATTAGTTGTTGGTGAAATAGGTTGAGATGGTTGTTGTTGTACTTGAGGACGATAAACCGATGGCGGTAAAGGATACATTGGACGAATTGATGGTTGAGATGATGGTATTTGGTAGGTCTAGAAAAAATATTCAGATTATAGAGAGAAATCTAACAAATAAAATATATCGTACTGAAAGAGGATTATAGACGTTTGATGGATGTGGTAGAGATGGATTTGGATTGATTGGATAATTAGTCGTTGGTAGTGAAGGTGAATTCGCTTTTGTATTGAGAATATTTGATGGTGGTGGTGGAGGTGGTGGTGGACTTGTGTTGATGTTATATCCATATGGTGGTGATGGAGTTACATTTGAATTGAAAAGATTGGTTGGTTGTGAAGTTGCACTTGAAGTGAAGAAACTAGATGTTTGTGAAGTTGGATTTGAACTAATATTATAAGGAGTAGGAAACGGTATAGTTGGATTTGTTTTTGTATTGAGAACATTTAATGGTGGAGTTGAATTTCCATTTGCAGTAGAAACATTCTGTATTGATGGAGTTGGAATTGTATTTAATTTATCAGTAGTTGCTACTGGTTGAGTAGGACTGGTGTTTGTGTTGTAAACATGTGAAGGTGGTAG